GGCAATTTAGGCTTCAGATCTGATTTTTACAGATGCAGATAGCTATAAAAATTGATTTTTAGGTAAGAGCCAAAACGAATCTTGTGTTATGTCGCAGGCCAAGAAATGGACAGAAGTTTTTAATAAACTTTTCACAAAGAAAAAAATCGATATTTAGGATTTTTAAGAGTGAAGACTTAGGGCCGATAAAAATCAGGTTTTGGTACAATAGATAAATCGATTAAGCATTTTGAAATATGCCAAAATTTGCTCTCAAGGAATTAATCTATTTTAAAAATAGATTTAATCGATTCGTATGAGTTTTAAAAACAATGATAGCTCAGGACTAAAAAATCAATTTTATTGAAAGAGGAAAAATCGATTATGATTTATGAGATAGGCCAATTTTGCATAGAAGATAAAAATCGATTATGCGAAGAAAAAGTCGATTTTGAGTCTTGTTTTGAAAGAAGAAAATTGAACAAGGAATTTCATTAACTTCAACCATGAAGCACATACCTGGGATGAAATACTTGTAAAAAGACCCTGCAAAAAAGATTTATTGTGCCTCCGATGCTCAAGTTAGTAATGTTTAAAGAATAAATGAATAATTTAGTTCATAGAGATATCCAAAATGCGAAGTTCATTCCGTATGTGGAAGAAACTCTCCCTACTAAGGGGTTTCGTGAAAATGTCCGCTTCGGTGGTGGATAGTGCAACACTAACTTGTTTCTTGCTTAACCAAGAAACTAACGAGTGACCGAACAAGTGACAAGTACCACTGGTTCTTTTCTTATCAAGTTTGCATCCAGCAAAATCTGAGTTTGAATAGCCAACAAGATGACACGTCGAACCTTTGGGATACAAAAGACCTACACTCAACGTGCCAACAAGGTACCACGTTATCCTTTTGATCGCAACCAAGTGTGATTCTTTAGGACAAGTTAGATACCTAGCACACATACAAATGGGGTACATGATATCCAGTCTACTCGCGGTAAGGTAAAGCAAAGAGCCGACCATACCTCGGTAGCGTTTGACGTCTACCCCTTTACCTTTTTCATCCTTGTCGAGATAGCAAGAGGTGCTCATTGGTGTGTCAATGGATTTCGATTCGGTAATGTCGACTCTCTTTAGCAATTTCCTGCAATATTTTGTTTGACACACGAAAGTCCCTTCTTTGCATTTCATAATTTGTAGCCCAAGGAAGTATTTTATTCTCCCATCATTGACATCTCAAATTCGCTTTGCATCATATCGGATGAATCTCTGCATAAATACCCCTCCTAAGCTCCTTCAAACATACAACCAAGTGCTATGCCAATTTCATACTCTCTTAATCCTTCTTACACCCTAATATTGTGTGTTTTAACTCTTCCTCTTATATTTTTCTATACTATACTATTTTTGAGCTATGATTTTTAATCTTACACATATCACACACAAGGGGATATTAATTTTGATACCTACACTTTCATCTGTAGGTTTTTGTAATTTTGATTTCCTTTTTATTCTACTTTCTACCCACATATTATTGTATTTCTCTTGTGGTAGAAGTTTGAATACTTTGTATACTTTTGGTTAAGGTTAAGAATAGCCTTGAATTCTTTTTGTAATAGTAGAAGATAGCCGTTAAATCTTCTTGTTGTAATCGGTTTGGATACGGTTAAAAAATCCTACTTAAGGAAGTCAAACAAGTTAGTGGAGGTTAAATGTTTAAGGAAGAGACTTAAGGTACTGGACATAGGGAGTTCGAAAACAAGTATAAAATTGTTTGTCTCGTGCTCTTTATATTCTTTATTTTTATGCTCTTTTTTCGGTCCTATACTTTCTCAGGATTTTTATTTTAATGAAAATCTTGCAAACACCCTAATTAACCTCCCTCTTAGGTTGTAACGAATATCAATTAGTATGTAAGCCGATCTGCATCTAGACATCCCCTTCTATCTTGCTGCCCTCTCGGAGCAGCTCCAACAAAATCCCTACGTGCAGTCAAAAACAAGAAATGACTACACGCTCAGCTAAAAGCTGAGTGAGTATATCTAACACTAGAATTAACTCACAGATGGTATGACATACATATACAATCAAACTGTTGGACATGCGTTCAAACCCCTTTTGGATATTCTGTAATATTATTTTTTAGGTTTTGTTAAATGACAAACGGAATGATGAAATCGAAACGACGATCAAAAATTAATTTTATTGTATCAAGAAAACAAAGAGGCGTCGTATCAAAAAATTTACGATGTTCATTTTCAATGCTCACCCCTACGCAGAGGTTTTTGAAGTAAAGTGAAGATTCTGAAGACTTTTTAATTTTATTGAATCTAAGAACAATTTGTAAGGATGAGAAATATTTTCACTTAAACAAATTAACTTTTAACGGATAAAATATTATTTTTTGAATCAGTTGAAAAATAAACTTTTCTCTGTCTAAAAATAATTTATTGGGTCAGTTACAAAAAGGCATGTCAAAATTTCTTTAAATAATTTTTTTAAGATGCACAAATTTTTTGTGGTGAAGAAAAATATACTTTAAATATTTTTCGTGTACTTCGTTTGACACATAAAATATTTTTGGCTCTCAATTTCTACACCAAATATTCATCTCCTAATTAAAAATTGATTTTGAATTATCTTTGTTTGAATATGGGAGCTTCTTATCCCTGAATTAATGTTGGGAACAAACCCAAAATGCCAATTTTTACTCTCCACTCGCACACATGCTTGTGTTCTTCATGTTTGGGCATTATTGTCGTAAAAATCGATTAACACCCTTAGAGATTAATCAATTAAGCATTTGAACCGTTGAAGGATTTTCGCACAGACTAATCGATTATCCCTCTTTGGGATTAATTGATAACCTTCTCTTTCCGCTGAAAGATTTTCGTACAGACTACTTTAATCAATTTTTGACCTTCTGAATAATCGATTAAATTTCTTCAGGACTTCATTTAACCCTTCTCTTTTGCTCCAACGAATTTATTTTTCTAAAACCTACCATTCTCCTTCATTCAACACAGAATTCTCGCACTCCATTCATCCCTTCTATTACATTCAACTCCTTGTTTCAATCTTCTTAAACAAAAGATTATTTCGAGAGTTAGAATTATTTTTGTTGAGTGCAAAAATAACACCCTCCGTCCCGCATACCCGGTTTGTCGCGGCCCAACGAGCCAGAGAGGTTACGTAGACGATTTTTAAGGCCGTCTACAAGGATAAACCCTTGCGTTGCGTGTAACTGAAAACCCTTGATATATTTTATTAAATGATGAAAATAAATTCACTTAAGAGAAATGTTTTATAGCGGAAGTAAATGTAAACGTTTAACGTTAAGTCATAAATAGAGAAAGTGCAACAATGGTGGATTCAAGCCCAAAACGTTTTTCATAATTAATTAGATAATTAATCGGGTCCCCACTGTCGTCGATCCGCCGCCCCGATCTCCCAATCATCTGGGTCACGCTCCATGTTCGTCTTGCCTACATGCGTATAGCAAAGGAAAACAACGTTATACGCTCAGCAAAAGGTGAGTGGTAATCTAACAGTAAAACGCATAATACATTCACATTGATATAAACATAATTGTACCTGTACTAAAGTACGAGATACCACATACAAGTTTAATGAATAATAGGTTACGAATAAACATTGATGCAATACCAAATAATCATGATGCATGAGTTAGACTGTGTAGGGACCCCCCTGCCCTTTGGTGATCATCCCCACACAGTAGATGAGCTAAGAAACGCCTTAGTCTTCCCGATGGAGACTATAAATGTGGGTGATAACTGAAGCCTTGCTACCATGTACTTACACAAGCCCTCGTGATGAAAACCCATTGGATCCCGCAGGTTCCTGGACGGCGCGGAAGAGGCGCACTAGGCCTGACCTCTTGTCGCGGTATGCAAAGTATGCCATGATCCTAAACATGCGTCTAGGATATACATGATGATATGGATGCATTGTTTGAAGAATGAAGTTAAGTTCAACGCATATATATATGTTTGATTCCGAATGATTTGTACGATATGACGGCCTTGGGTTTAGAACTGGCTAATAATCGATTATCCATTTCTGATGATCGATTATCACGCATTGCAGCTTCTGTTTTTAAGTCCTGCAGACTGTGATAATCGATTGTCACCCTCTGACAGTCGATTGTCGTGTTGTTTTGTTCAGGAAACCCAAGTTCAGAGAGGCCTGATAATCGATTATTGCTTTGTGATAATCGATTATCAGTGAACCACTTAGACCCAAGAATCCGCAGGGCCTGATAGTCGATTATCACATATGTGATAATTGATTGTCACGCCTTGCTGCTTCTAACGAGAGGTTCAGCGCAACCTGATAATCGATTGTCTAGTCCTGTAACTCAATTATCAGGGCACACAGCTCCTCATTTTGCCTGTCTGATTATAGTCATTATGTTGGGGTTTTCGGAATAAATGCTTATGTTTTCATATTGAATTAGCTATGAAATTATAGATTATCAAAACGTATACATTAACGAGTTTACAATCAAAAGTCTAAATAACGTAAAACCATGATAATGTGGACACGCGTATGTTTAGCCGTGTAATCCTATGAATATAACGATATGATTGAACTACGAATTCTAAAGTTAGAGGGCAACGTACTCACCTTTAACGCAGGGATTAACGATAACGAAAAACGGATGAACGAACGGACGATGAAAAACGAGCAGCTTCTCGCGTGAACTTCCTCCTCTTCAACCTCCTCGACTACACGTCGGAATCTCCTCCTGGGGCTGCTGTGGGCTGGCCGAAGATACAAGGGAAGAGAAGAGAGAGTGAGAGAGTTAAGGTTGGGAGTTACAATGTTGAAGGGGAAATGAATGGAAAGGGGAGTTTTATAATACAAGAATTGATGGTGAATAATGAGGGAATTGATGGAGATTTATAGATAAAATGCATGGGTGGCGTGTGGATTTATATGGGGAGTTATCTCCCTTAATTCTATTCCGTTGTGTAAATTCCGTTGCGTTTCTGGAATCAGACAGTCAAAACGAATATTATGACATGATCAAATAAGTTTTCCAAGGATTTTATTTTCCCAACCCCGGTCTGAGTTCGTAATTAATTAATTAAATTAATCAATTCAAATAGACCGGGTCTCAAGGCGTTACATTCTTTCTGGAAGGAAAGGATGAGAATTTTCATCCAATCCAATGACTACAAGCTATGGTTGATTGTGAAGAATGGATGTGGCATTCCGATGAAGAAAGTCAGTGAAGTAAGCGTCCCCAAAATCAAAGTGGAGTTCAACGATGAAGATTGCAAGAAAATGGAGCTCAACTCCAAGGCAATAAACATGATTTATTGTAGTGTTAACGCGGATGACTATCGCAAGACTTCGTGGTGTGAAACCGCAGAACAAATGTGGGAGAAGTTGGAGGTCACCTATGAAGGAATTACGCTAGTTCGGGAGGCCAAAATCGACCAACTCACCCACGAGTACGAGCTCTTCACGATGATGGAAAACGAGAAGATAGAGGATATGTTTGAGAGATTCTCTAACATCATCAATCCTCTAAACCTTCTCAGAAAGACTTACACTGACCGAGAACTCGTGAGGAAGGTGTTGCGGAGCTTATCACCGAAATCGCGTTCAAAAGTGGACGCAATTGAAGAAGGTCGTGACTTCCAAACGACCACCTATGATTCTCTTTGAGTTAATCTCATTATCTACGAAACGACAAAACTTTCTAAGGTGGAGGAAGAGAGGAACAAGAGAACCATTGCTCTACCCGTAATAACGTCAACCAACAACAACGTTGACGACGAAGATGATGACAGCGACGACACCGAACTCGGACTCTTCGTCCGAAAATTTAAGAAAATGATGATGAAGAAGGGAGCCAAGAAGAACACTCCACTCAAGTGCTATGGGTGTGGTGAAGTTGGACATATTAAACCAATGTGTCTTAAGCTCAAGAATGAGAAGGACAAGAGGGCACTAAAGAAGCAACGTGCCTACATATCTTGGGAGAACGATGGCTCCGAGAGTGAAGACTTAGATGCAGAAGAAGTGGTCAAGCTTTGCCTCATGGCCATTGAAGAAGGAGAATCATCTAAAGAGGTAAGTGATCACGAACCTTTCTCCAATGATCCCTTAACTCTTATTGATGTGTTAGCATTGTAGAAGAATTAGTAGGTATGTTTAAGAAGGCCTCAAAAGAAAATAATGATGTTAAACAACAAATCCTGATTTTTGAGAATGACATTAAAGAACACAAAAACATAAATGATCAACTCGAACAAGAAATCATTTCCTTGGGTAAAAGGCCGGAGCATTACCATATTCTTCTTCTACATCATGTACTAGTTGCACTTCATTAAAAGCTAACGTTGCTAGTTTAGAGAGCAAATTGGGAAAGTTTGATAATCCCTCAAACACCATAGATAAAATATTTAGGCAAAAACCTAGTAATGGTGAAGGACTAAGATATAACAAAATCCCACCAAAAAAAACAACATTTGTTAAGGCTAAAGGGAATAAAATTGCGGGGACTAATAATCAAATTAGAAGAGTACCTCCTTGAAAACCTAGAACTTATTTCACTCAACCTTATATGATGAATAACCCGAATGTTGTATGTCATTACTGCAATAAAATAGGTCACATTGCACCCGTGTGCTTCACCAAACATAGGCATTTTCAACATACGCACCCACTTCGCACATATGCTAACAAAAAATGACCCAACAAGAAATGGCTTCGAGTACCTATTGGTATCTCGATAGCGGATGCTCCAAGCACATGACCGGAGACGCATCCAAGTTTAGGATTTTAGAGTATTTCAAAGGTGGTAATGTCATTTTTGGTGACAACAACAAAGGAAGGATCATTGGAAGTGGCACGGTTGAAGAGAGACAATGCTACTAGCATTGAAAATGTTCTTCTTGTTGAGGTAACCGTGTCACCTTTGATTCTAGTAAATGCATTATAGAACGCTTGTGTGACAATAAGATTTTTCTTTGTGGTAGTAGGGTAGATAACATTTTATGTTTGATCTTGATAATTCTCATCTACCTTAGCTAAGTGTCTTATTACTAAAGAGGAAGAAAAGTGTCTATGACATCGTCGGATAGCTCACGTTAATATGGACCATCTTAACAAGTTGGTTTCTAGGGACGTAGTAATTGGTATTGCTAAGCTTAAGTTTGAGAAGAATCTAATTTGTGATGCATGTAAAAAAGGGAAGCAAGAAAGGGCTTTGTTTAAGTCAAAGAACGTTGTTTCAACGACTAGGCCGTTACAACTTTTGCACATGGACCTTTTTGGACCTTCAAAAACTATGAGTTTAGGAGGTAATGACTTTGGCTTTGTCATTGTTGATGATTATTCGAGCTATACATGGACACACTTTCTTGCTCATAAGTATGATGCACTTAATGTTTTTAAGAAATTTATTAAATTGAATTGGTTCAAAATGAAAAAAAATTGTCATATTGCATCCATTAGAACTGATCATGGGGGAGAATTTGATCAAGATGGCTTTGATGTCGTTTGTGACGAATTAGGCATTGAGCATAATTTCTCAGTCCCTCGTACACCACAACAAAATGGCGTGGTTGAATGGAAAAATAGATCTCTTGAAGAGATGGCTAGGACTATGCTCAATGAGGCAAACCTTCCTAAATACTTTTAGACGGATACCATGCGTATCGCGTGCTACGTGTTAAACCGAGCTGTCATTAGACTAATACTCAAGAAAACGCCCTATGAACTTTACAAAGGAAGAAAGCCTAACCTTTCCTATTTTCATGTCTTTGGATGTAAAGTTTTTATTCATATAATGGTAAAGATAACTTGGGAAAATTCGATGCTAAGTCGGATGAAGGATTTTTTTTTAGGTTATTCATTGCGTAGTAAAGCATATAGAGTGTTCAACAAGCACACTAAGACCATAAAAGAGCCTATTAATGTCGTGTTTGATGAATTTGATGCTCGCTTGGCGAGAAGTGGTATTGTTAAAAATATTGCATGTTCATATGACGAAGAAGAAGAAGAAATCGTCAAGGAAAAGGAACCGGAAGAAGAGAAAATGCAGGAGCAAACGGGGCTTCCTAAGGAGTGGAGAACGTTAAAGAATCACCCGATTGAAAGTGTAATTGGTGACATAACGCAGAGAGTTTCTACTCGTAATTCTCTTAGCTTAGGGACACTATTAATCACATGGCCTTTGTTTTACAATTTGAACCAACAACCATTTTGGATGCCATTAATGATGAGCATTGGTCTATAGCAATGCAAGAGGAGCTTAACCAATTTAAATACAATGATGTTTGGAAATTGGTGCCTAGACCTAATGATTATTCCGTTATTCGCACAAAATGGGTGTTTCGTAACAAACTTGATGAAAATGGAATAATCACTAGAAACAAAGCTAGGCTCGTAGCTAAAGGCTACAATCAATAAGAAGGCATTGATTATGAGGAAACTTATGCACCAGTTGCACATTTAGAACCTATTCGTTTATTGCTTGCATTTGCATCTACGATGGATTTTAAACTTTATCAAATAGATGTTAAAAGTGCCTTCCTTAATTGTATCATTCAAGAGGAAGTGTGTGTCGAACAACCCCCGAGTTTGAAGACTATGAGTTTCCCGAACATGTCTTCAAACTCAAAAAGGTGCTTTACGGTCTAAAACAAGCACCTCGTGCTTGGTATGAACGGTTAAGCAAATTTCTTTTGGACCATGAGTTCAAACGGGACAAGTCGATACTACCCTTTTCATCAAGAATGATAACCAAGACCTCCTTTTGATTCAAGTTTACATAGCTGATATCATATTCGGTGCTACTAACGAGACTTTGTGCAGGGATTTTTCTGATATGATGCAAAGTGAGTTCGAGATGTCGATGATGGGAGAATTGAAAATCTTCCATGGACTGCAAATTAAACAATGCAAAGAAGGAACATTCGTGTGTCAAACGAAATATTGTAGGGAATTGGTAAAGAGATTCGACGTTACCGAATCCAAATTCATTGACACACCAATGAGAACCAAGCACCTCTTACCAACAAGATGACACGTCGAACCTTTGGGATACCAAAGACCTACATTCAACGTGCCAACAAGGTATCACATTATCCTCTGGATCGCAACCAAATGGGATTCTTTAGGACAAGATTCATTGGTTAAAACAGCAACTAGTGGATTTTGGCTTTATACTTGATCGCATCCCAATTCAGTGTGACAATATGAGTGCTATTAGTTTAACGAAGAACACCGTTCTTCATTCGCGGACTAAACACATAGAGATTAGGCATCACTTCATATGAGATCACGTCCAAAAGGAAGATGTTACAATTGAGTTTGTTGAAACGAAACATCAATTAGCGGATATTTTCACGAAATCCCTAGTAGGGAGAGTTTCTTCCACATTCGGAATGAACTTGGCATTTTGGATGTCTCTATGAACTAATTCATTTTTTTATTGATAATACTAATTTGAGAGTCGGAGGTGCAATAATTTTTTGATCAAAACTTGCCCTTGTTGTCAAAACTTTCTTTAATCAATTTTATCCCTTCATTTTAATCAATTAAATACCAGTGGGGTTCCCATGACATTGGAACCCCATGTCATGGGATGACCCGGGGCGTTCTGGTGCCTCGTTAGTAAAATTGACGATTTCTACCCCCCTAATCCTCCCGGTAAACCCCTAATCCCGCCCCGACCCGAACACACCCCGCCATCTCCTTCAATTGCACCCCACAAGTTGATTTTGACTTTGGAGTCAAATTTTGACTCCAAAGTCAAAATCAACTTGTGGGGTGCAATTGAAGGGGGTGGCAGGGTGTGTTCGGGTCGGGGTAGAGTGGGGGAATTTACTTGGGGGTAGGAGCCGTCAATGACCTAGTAAGAGGAATAATGTCCAGTAATGATGGACTGGACATTTAGTTGAATAATGACTACTTGATAACGACCAAAGTTACTACATTGGGAAATAAAAACATATGGTCCTATATTGAAAAAGTGATTATGTTTACTCCTATTTAACTAAATTTTTTTAAAATTCTTCTGCCTGACTTCCTTTTCTTTCTCAAAACCAGATCCGCAACTTCATCTTCCCATATCTCCTTTTTTTCCAGCGCCGAAAATTTTTCTCTCCAAACCCTAGCTTTGTTCTTCGACTTTTCCTCCTCAAATTTCACCAAATTTTTCCAAAATTCATCATTGAATGATTGAATAATATTATTACTACTGTCTGCTGTTCTGCCATTGTCCTTTGCTCGCTCACAGTAGCGAAACATTAACTTTGTTAACCTTTAATTGAAATCGTCTTGTTTTTTCTTCCAAGTTTGATTCACATACAGTTCAAACTCGCCGGGATGAAAGGTTTTCGAAGGTTGGTACCGCAAGCTGTGCTGTGTTGTAGCAACAATTTGCTTCTCAAATCATACGCAGCAAAAAATGGAGGTCTTCGAGCTTATCGTAGCATTCTCTATTCATCGAAAGTGCTTTCTTCATTTTCTGGTTTTACTTCGTTGAAATCAACACCTCTTCGTTCTTCCCCATACAGGACTCCATTGTCGATTATTGGAGGTCAGTTTTAGAATAAACATAGGAACTTGCGTATAGTTTATTGGGAAAAATCCTTATTTTAAATATAAATATGAAAAATTCAGTGGTTTAGGGCTTCTATAACTGCTGGGAGTTGATATTTAATGAGAAACCTAACTTGTATTCATTTAGATTAAGATTTAAGATTTAAATACTCAAAACAGAACATCTTAAGTTCTTTAGATTCTTTTATACAAACTAGTAGCTAGATATACTCTTTCAGTTAGTATAATCGATATAGTTTTATCATTTTTCATTGCACATGTAACAAATTTTATAGTCATTGTTGGACTTGGTCTTTACTCTCCTGCCATGAAACAACATTGTTTGAACTTTGAAGGTACTACGTAGTAAAAAATACAGAATATAGGTTTGTTGCATGCTAAACCTAGTGTAGTTCTCTCATCTGTGTTGTGTAAATTTAATGATGTTGCTTTGGACAGGGCAAAGAAGAACCATGTTCATACAAACACAATCAACACCCAATCCATTGTCACTTATGTTCTATCCGGGAAAGCCAGTTATGGAGACTGGAAGTGCAGATTTTCCAAATGCTCGTTCTGCAATGAATTCACCACTTGCTAAGGCTCTGTTTGGAATTGATGGTTAGCTTGCTCCCAAAATATTTCTTACCTTAGCTAGTTAGCTGTAGTAAGGCTTTTTGTTCAACACATCCTTTTAAGCCTCCCTATTACCAATGCAGTG